GGAGACAATCACACTAAGGGGACCCATGGAGAGACTGGCTAGAGGGGCCCTTGGGGTAAACATGACTGTTAGTTTCAGAAAGCCACCGTTTGGGACCAAGCCCCTGCTGCCAACCACACAGTCAAACCAAAGGGGGCCACTGCTGCTACAATGCTGCCCGTCAGACGGAACCTCGAGCACTGACGGTCCCACATAGGCCAGTCTTTCCCCAAAGTGGAGACAGCAGTCTGCCTGAGCCAGTGCTGGGAGGAGGTGACCCTGAACCCGGGGCTGTCTCAGGCACGTCACCTGAAGTAGCTCCAAACACCACCCAGCTAACTGGGCTTTGGTTTCAGGGACCTCTTGGCTGAGGACATTCCCTCCTTTCCCTCCAGACCCCGTCTCCACACCGTGCCAAAAGGAAGCAAGGGAATGTAAGGCCACCTGCTGGCCAGACCAGAGTGGCTCACCTGTCCCTGCTGGGCGAGATGTCCTGTGGCCCCCTCCCGATGCCTCAATTTTGCCTTTAAGATCGCCCTGAGCTCTACAACCTCACCTGGCCCAGGTGACTGGCATCCTGGCTTTGTCCCTGCCTCCCTGTAGGTCAGCACAGCCCACTCTGCATTTTGGAGCTGAGGTCCAGCTACGTGGAGGCACATGTCACCTCTTCATGCACTTGTGGGCCCCGGGCCAGCCCGCCTTTCTACCCCAAGCTGCTGGGGGAGGAGCTCAAGGCATTCCTACCTCAGCCAAGCAGTCTCCCAGCCAGAACGGGGAGCCACCTTCGCTCCTGGCCAAGTCCAGGCCAGGTGACCAGCCAAGGGCCTAGGCTCACAGGGACCCAAGCCCCCACACACCTGGCAAGGCCCTCACCACCTCCCAGAAGCAGAGGCCAGTCCAGGGTGTGGCCACCACAGCCCCAGGGGCAGAGGTAGCCCTCGACAGACCCTGTCCCTGTGCCGGGTCCCCATGTCGAGGCCGGCATCGGCTTGTTTCAACCCAGAGATTTCACAGTTTCCATCCTCTCTTGGAAAATCTGACAGTCTGGGACCAGCAGGTGGCATAGTGGTTGGGGCACTGGACTCCCACATGGCCGACTGCAGTTCGACTCTTGGACCTGGCAGCTTGAGAATCGTACCAATGTGTATGCTCAAAATCCTGAGAGGAGGATAGAGAAGGGACTGTGGTGTGGCCATTCTCCCAAGGGCTGATTTCTCTCACTTTCTGTCTCTCCACCGAGCACACACCCCATAGGAAAAACCTCTCTCTTGAACAAATAAAGTCTGAAGATCTGATCCCGCTCGTCCTCTCCCTTGCTTTGCTGCCTGTGCCTCCACCCACCTCCCCAGCGCGGGGCTCAGTTCTCAGGACAGGGTCAAGACCTTGCCCCTCGCTGTGAATGCCCTTGAGGGGGCACATCCATTAACTGCTCGCTAGTGAGAGGGGCCTCTGTGCTGAGTCCTGATCTGTGCTGGCCCACGCCGACCTTGGCACCAAGAAGGGTTGGAAACACCCCTCGCGGTGGGTCTAGCCGCTGTCTGGGTGCCAGCCTCCCACCTGCACAGCACCAGGTTTCGAAACTTTCCCCCCAAGGGGGGCGTGTGCTCACCAGCGACAGAGAGGGAGGGAGCAAGGGAAGGCACCCCAGGTGCAGCCCTTCTCTGTTTCTCCCTCCCGTGGGGATGCAGGGCACACACACACCCTGAGGTATTTTTCAAGCTTCCAGGTTTGGGATTCAAACCTTGTTCAGTCCCTTAGCCACAAGCCATGGGCCTTTCTAACAATCAGCCCGAACAGGTTTGTTTTAAAAATTCCTTGTTGCAAACTGCATGGGCTCTTGCCGCGGCGCTTTGCCATCTGCAGGAGTCTCCCCCAACCTCCCTGGACGCTCCCACACACCCCTTGGGCCACGCGGTGAACCCACTGGCTCTGGCCGCATTTGTTCTGCCATGAGCTGCCGATTTGTGTTCTGAAAGTTGTTTATTCCGTTTCAAATATCCAGTTTGCTGCAGTACCTCCCTAATCTCATAAAAATTCGCCCTTCGCGGGTTTCTCTTTGTGAAACTGTCCTCCAAGGTGCGGCCACTGTGCTGGGGCTCGCCAGTGTTTGAATCTCTGATTCACCTGGCAAGTGTGGACCCGCCACACAATGACAACAGAAATAACCACTTCTGCAGAAAGAATCATCCATGTGGTTTACTGCTAAGCACGCAATCGAGTGGCCAGCCCAGAGGAAGACTGTGTTCCTCGGTGCACTGATGCGGTGGTTTCTTTACAGTTTTGAGAGGAGGTGAGCTGTCAATCAGCAGAGGAGTCCTCCACCTTGGCCTGGCTCAGAGGCAGAGGCTCATAGTTACAGGGTTATAGCCTACTCAGTGAGAAATGAGGACATCCAGACACAGCCAAATTTATTGGAGTTTATTGATTAAGCCGGCGGCATAAGGGGGGACTCATGTCTCTCAAAATCCCACCGCCCCAGTGCAACGTGAGGGGTGCTTATAAAGGCAAAAACCACACTCTTCCGGGCTGATGTGGCAATCACAAGGACAAAGAGCAGTGGGGTCCGGTTTTACACCCGTAAGGAAAGAAAGCAAAACCGAGTCACAGAGGCAGAAAGCGCAGGTTAATCATCCGTAAGGGGATGGTCCATCCCTACCTAAACACAATGGAATCTTAATAATCTTCATGGCTCAGGGCAAGGTCCGGTGACTGGAGGCCACTAGGAGGAGTGGGGTTTAAAGGAAACAGGAATGCTAATGCCCTCTGCTCTTAGGCACAAAGAAGGCAAGTTTCCAGTTGTAGCGGTCTAAGTTTATAATGGAGGCACACCTCCCAGATGGAATTGTGCGTGCTTCAACAGGAGAGTTTGAAATTCTCAGCTTGGTGATCGCAGAAGAGATCAGCAAAATAACGCCTGCAATCCACTTTAGCGGAGGTAGGAAAGCTATGCCAGAAGACTTCATGCCAGGGACGAGGTGTGGGAAGAGCCCTCCCAACGGGCCAAAATGGGCCCTCAGTGTTTGCAGGCGTGACTCCACCCAGGCCCTCTGGAAAGGATTTTGGAAAGTGGAAAAACCAGCTGTATCTCGTTCTCAACACGAAAGAAGGTGTGGGGCTCAGTCCCGGCCACAGGTAGGAGGTGTCCAGGGCCACACTGATGAGGTCTCCGAGACTGGTCAGGCCCTGGCCCTCAGGCCCTAGAAGTCTGACCTGTGTCCTTGGACGTGCAGGGCTGGCATGGCAGGCTGTGTGGCTGAGCGGGGTCTGGGCCACCCCCATGGGTCTCATAAGTGACGCTGACATTTCTGGATCTAAACTGCCTTCAGAAGGGAAAAGACCAGCGACTGGGGAAAGCCACTCGACAACAACGCAGGCCTCCCCAGCCCAGCTTGGTGGCACTGCCTGTGGGTCCTCACATAGGGGGTTTTCCTGTGTTCAGGAAATCCAGAAGAGCAGCTCCAGCTCCCTCCAGGCACCCAGGGATGGCAGCGTGCCCAGAGAGTGGACGCTGCCGCTGCCTCGTGAGCCTTCCTGCCCAGTGAGTAGTCATCATGCTCAAGCCAGGCACACCTGCTGTCCTGGCCCTGCTTCTCAGAGGGGCAGACGTGGTGGCACTCCAGGGTCTTCACCCTCTTCTCGGCAGGGCCCGAGTGGGGCCAGGCCTGCATCTCCCAGGTGCCTGATGTCAGGTGGCCTTCTTCCCGGTATGGCCCCTATTTTCCCAGGAACCCAATGTTCTTGGGGGGCTTGCCAGGGAACTGCAGGGCGTACAAGTGGGCCATGTACTGGAGCTCGGGCATTGCCATTCTGTGGCAAGTGCGCAGCGTCTCATTGTCCAGATCTGGCCTGAGGTTGTAGCCCAGGATGTCCGCTGCGCCCGACTGGAAGGGGAGCAGGTGCCGATCGGTGATCTGGCTTCGGTTCTTGGGCGCAGAATCCAGCAGGCACAGGGCAGCGAGCTCGCGCTGCCGCGCGCGTAGCCGCGCCACCTCCCTGCTCAGGCGGCGCGGGCCCAGCTCGGCTTGCACCCGCGCCCAGAAGGTGCGATTGAAGTGCTGGTACAGACGCCAGTCGAGCGCGCACCAGCGCTTGGCGCGCTCCTGCGTCTCGGGCGCCAGGCGCGCCACGGTGCGCTCACTGCGCATGTTCAGCCGGAAGGAGACGACGTCGTCCAGTCGCCAGCGCAGCAAGTGCCGCAGCAGCACCATGGACTCGTCGAAGTACTCGGCGATGAGCACCAGCTGGAAGTGCTGCTCCAGCTCCGCCAGGCGCGCCTGCACGTAGCTGTCTTCGGCCGGCGCGTTGTTGTCGAAGCCGAAGTCGAACCACATGTTGTTCCTGGCATAGGCGTTTTGCAGGCTGAGGCTGCCCTTGTAGTAGCTGTGCGGAGAGGCCAGGAAGGCGTCCAGGCTCTTGGCGCTACGGAAGGCGGGCACGACGCCTTTGTAGTAGGTAAAGGCGGACTCCAACTGGGACACTGGGTTTCTAATGATGGAGAAGTAGAAGGTGTTTTGGGGCATGACCTTCTGCACCTGTGGAGAAAGATGGGCCATTCAGACTCCTGCAGCCACACCTCACATAGGCCCCTCCCCCCATTCAAGGCCCCAGGGCCCCCAGGCTGTCGCATGGGCCAGAGTCCCTCATGGGCCCTGTCTTGGCCCCAGGGCTGCAGGTAAGCCCTGCCCTCAGCCACTGTGCTCAGGGGTCAGGGTCAGAGGCCAGAGACCAAAAGGAAGTCTGGCGGTGAGAGGTGACCCAGTGGGCTCAAGCCAGGAGCACTGCTGTCCTGGGCCCTGCCAGTCTGAGGTCTCAAGGTGTGGGGTGCCTGTGACCCTGGCTGCAGCCCTATGGAGGGCTGCCCTCAGTCCCAGCTGGGGGCTTTGAACACGGTCCACTTGCACCCGGCCACTCTCAGACCTACTTAGATGAGGATGCCCAGTCTTGAGAAGCTGGCATGTTGGGACGAGGTTCTCAGAGGGGCGCAGCTCCCTCTCCTGGCCCCCATGAGGTCCTGAAGGTCATCCCCGGCACTTGGCTGTCTTCGGCCGGCGCGTTGTTGTCGAAGCCGAAGTCGAACCACATGTTGTTCCTGGCATAGGCGTTTTGCAGGCTGAGGCTGCCCTTGTAGTAGCTGTGCGGAGAGGCCAGGAAGGCGTCCAGGCTCTTGGCGCTGCGGAAGGCGGGCACGACGCCTTTGTAGTAGGTAAAGGCGGACTCCAACTGGGACACTGGGTTTCTAATGATGGAGAAGTAGAAGGTGTTTTGGGGCATGACCTTCTGCACCTGTGGAGAAAGATGGGCCATTCAGACTCCTGCAGCCACACCTCACATAGGCCCCTCCCCCCATTCAAGGCCCCAGGGCCCCCAGGCTGTCGCATGGGCCAGAGTCCCTCATGGCCCTGTCTTGGCCCCAGGGCTGCAGGTAAGCCCTGCCCTCAGCCACTGTGCTCAGGGGTCAGGGTCAGAGGCCAGAGACCAAAAGGAAGTCTGGCGGTGAGAGGTGACCCAGTGGGCTCAAGCCAGGAGCACTGCTGTCCTGGGCCCTGCCAGTCTGAGGTCTCAAGGTGTGGGGTGCCTGTGACCCTGGCTGCAGCCCTATGGAGGGCTGCCCTCAGTCCCAGCTGGGGGCTTTGAACACGGTCTACTTGCACCCGGCCACTCTCAGACCTACTTAGATGAGGATGCCCAGTCTTGAGAAGCTGGCATGTTGGGACGAGGTTCTCAGAGGGGCGCAGCTCCCTCTCCTGGCCCCCATGAGGTCCTGAAGGTCATAAAGCCCCTAGGAGGGAGCGGCACGCGGCTCTCCACCCTCACCCTGCCCTCTGCAGCCCGCCATTGTCCCGAGGACCCCATACCAGGCCATGCCTACCCCTAACTCCCTGACCTCCACCTCACTGGGAAGGAAGGTCAGAAGCTCTGGGAGGAGGTGCCTCCAGGCTGAGGCACAAGCGGTCTGGAGAGCACCCTCAACAGGGGACAGACGGCAGGTGCATGGGCCCTGGGGGTGGGGGGGAGAGCTGGCAGGAGGGGGACAGATGGCAGGTGCACGGGCCCTGGGAAGGGAGAGCTGGCAGGAGAGGCCAGAGGCAGTCAGTGCAGGGGTCTCTGCAAATACCTGGTGCCGTGGGTGGTCTACGTCTCACCCATGAGCCACTGCAGGTGGTAGGCAGCCTGGAAAGGCAGGTACAAGGCCTGCCCACCCCAGAATCTGGCTGAGCCCATGTGCTGCCCTTTGGCCTCCAGGCTGGGCCACCAGAGCCCCACTTCCCACCTGCCACCTCCTACCTGCCACCTGCCACCTGCCACCTCAAAGCCGGACTCACGCCCTGCACAAGCCCCGCCCACCCACTGCCCGCAGGGCCGCTCGCCTCCGTTGGGTTGAACCGCAGGTGGTTGCACATGACACTGAATCGCCGCTGCAAGCCAGGGCCCTCCTGCCCGACGCCCTCCACATAACGTGCCAGGAACAGCCAGGGGTAGCCCAGGTGGAAGTGCGAGCCAGCGGGCAGTGCCACGGACAGGTTGTGTGTCTCCGCAAAGCGGTAGAGGATGTTGAGCACGGTGCTGCTGGCCGTCTTGTGTGTCTTGAGGAACATGATGCTGGTGACCGGTGGCCCAGTGTCCTGGCCCCTGAACAGGCTGGGGGACACAGGCTGTTAGCAGGCACCACACCCTGCTGGGACCCCAGATGCTCCACCCTAACCCCACAACCCCTAAGCATGATGCAGACCCAGCCCCCTCTGGACATCCCCCAAACCACCTCCATCACACTCCCCCCAGCCCACCCCACCACTGTATCCCCAACCTAAAGACCCCTGACCCTGGGGCCCCAGGGGAACCCACTAGGTGACTTGACCCAAGCCAGGTGGTCCCAAATGGCTGTACCTTCCTTTCCACTGCAGGCTCAGCCCCAGGCCCCTAGGCTCCCCGGCCCCCAGCCCTGCGCCCAGCACCATGCCTACCCTGTGACCTCAGTGTCTTGTCTGGCCCCTCTTGGCTCACTCTTGGGCCAGGCCCCCAAAGCCCAAGTGCCAGCCGAAACCAGGGCCCGGGTGGGCACCGGGCCCCACACCTGGTTCCCTTTTGGCCACTGGGCCTGGAGCAGTTGGCACCATCCCCGCCCAACGCCAGGCCAGTGAGAGTGACCAGGGTGGTAGGGATGTCTAGAGGTCAGGGCTGGCCCTGGGGACAAGGTGAGGGTGGGCAAAGGCAGACCTTGGGACCCACCCCCAGCGGCCTGGCCCAGAGAGATCCTGGGGAAAGGGGAGGATCCTGGGGCTGTGAGACTCTCTTAGCAGCTGACCAAAGCCGTGACAAGGGCATGGCGGATCGTGGATGGCCCCCCGTGCAGACCAGGCCTTCACAGAGGGTGTGCGGCAGGGTCAGGCATGCTCAGGCTACAGGGGCGGCCTCAGGAGCCAGGGACTCCGACACAGGACTCACGGCATGAACAGCTCGATGTCCAGGTGCAGGAACCCGGCCAGCAGGAACAGCGTCAGGGCCAGGAGGAGAAAGACAGCCCGGAAGTACCTGTGGGCAGGCAGCTGGTCTGTGCTCCAGGCCAGTACATCAGCCCCACCCCTCCACCACACCCCTCACCTCCTGGAGCTAGAGCCTAGGGCCACGGGTCGCAGCACTTGCCGCCTCCCAGGCATGGGACTGGGCAAGGCCACCAAGGGGCTCAGACCCACTCCTGCCACCCCCCAGCGCTCAAAAGCCATGAGACAGAGTGGCCTCCCACCCCCTTTTGGGAGGGGCAGGGACAGGAGAAAGCTGGCCAGGGCACCCCTAGCCCTTTGCAGGAGCCCCTGGGAGACTGGCCAGCGAGATCCTGAGCTTGAGAGCCCAAAGGGCTGGGGGGCCATGGGAGGGCTGACTGTCCCCAAGCCCACACCCTGACCCTCTGTGTTGGTGTGTACTGAGGGACCTGGGGCCTGAGGTAGGAGTACTGTCCAGAGCGCCTGCTCCCAGCCCCACCCCACCAGGGAGGCCCCCAGCCTCCAGGACCAGGGGAAGCGACTGTTGTCAAAGCTGTCATGGGTGTCGTGTGGCCACGATGTGCCACACAGCCTGGAGCGAAGTCGCTGACTGCCTGAGTGGGCAGCTGCCCTGCCTGGAGCTTGGCATGGAGAGAGGGCATGCCTGGGACCACTCCGACCTTGCTGATATCCAGAGGAATGCTGGGATCACCCCACAGAGCGGTGACTGAGGACAGGCAGGTCCCCAGCACTTGCTTTCCCAGCCAGACCGTGCAGTGACCAGCAGGGCATGGAGTCTACTAGGCTCTCCCTCAGCCAGGTCTGGGGCCTGGACAGTTTCTGCACCCATACGTGGGAAGCAAGAGGAGGGGATGGAGGAAACTGAGGCGTCTCCTGACCCCAACTCCAGGTGTGTATCTGTGGCAGGCTGTGCCTGGCTGTGCCCCTGGGGGGAGCTGGGGCCCAGGAAGCTCTGACCAGGGATGGGGGGTGGGCAGGGGAGGGGAAAGCCGGGGGCAGGAAGGAGGGGTGGCAGTGGGGGAGAGGAAAACGAGGAGAGGAGGGCTGGCCAGGGAAGGGGAGAGGAAGGAGGGCTGATAAGGGCCAGGGGCAGCTGGAGCAGAGGCCTTCTACTCCAAGCAGGACGGGGACTGGGGGTGCCCCCTGGGGAGAAAGGACAAGTTTTCCCAGACCCCAGAGAGGCCTGCACTGTCCATCAGCCCAGAGACACTCCTGGGCAGGTGTCCAGCACTGGCGGCCAGCAGTTCTCCAGCAGCCTGGTTAGTCTGACCCCCACACACCCCCTGGCAGGCTGGCGTCTGCCGCACACTGGCCACTGCACTGTCACTGTCTGGCACACTGCCCCTCCACCTCGAGGAGGCAGACTGGCCTCAGCTCAGCAGCTGCCCAGTGAGAACAAGGACACCTCTGCGAGGTCCCTGGGCCCTGGCTTGCCGATGACTTTCTGGTCCGAATGCCCACCCGAGGGACCAGGGCAGGTGGGGTGGTCCCAGGGGGCCTGGGGTCTACCTGGCAGGGTGACAGTGTGACTGACTGGCCAGGGCTGCCCTGGGCAGTGCTCCGGGCCAAGCAGAGATGGCACCACGCCGGGCCTGGGTGTTCCCACAGCAGCGCAGATGCCCATGGAATAAGGGTCTGCAGCCTCATGGGGAACAGACTGCAAACCGCTGAACCCGGGCCCTTCCATCGAGACTTGCTGGCATGTGAATTACATCTCAATAAGGCTGTTTAAAACTACATTTTTTAAAGTTTGAAGAGTTTAGCTGCTCAATAAAATTTGAAAGGCAATGATTGCGGGGGAAAACGTGGACAAAAACTACAACCATTCGACGTTGCTTCTGAGTGCCTTTAGCTACCACGGAGCCATCGCCGGCCAGGCACATCCCTGCCCTGCTTGAGCTCCAGAATCCTCACACATCCTGCATTGAGGACTCAGGGCCCAGCCTCTTGGGGTCTTCCTGAGCCCTGGGCCCTCAGGGACAGGCCAGAGGCCCTGAGAACCAGCGCAGAGGTCCCAGTGGTCTGAGGGGAAGGGGCATCCCCCTAATTGTACCCTCAGGTGGCCTAGTGCTCCGCAGCCCAGGATGGCCTCGTCCCACTGTGGCTGAGGCTGCACCTCTGTTGAGCGGTTGGTCCAGCTCCCCTGTCCTAGGGACAGCGTTGCCTTGCAGAGTGTGAAGGGCAGAGAGGGCGAGGGAGGAGGGCAGATGGCCAGGGCCAGCTGGAGTGGACGGAGTCGGATGGAGCAGTGTGAACCCAGAGTGGTCCCGCAGGAGACCCTCCCCATCATCTGGACGCTC